GTTGCATTTTTTTCTCCTTTATCTCTTAAATACCTTTTAAAATTCTGTGGGGTTTTTTTGTTTGTTTGTTTAACAATAGAAAACAAAAAGTAAAACCTTCTATAATTTATAAGCTATCTTTTGCTATCTACATTATATATAAAATATAGACTCTGTTTTACTTTATAACATACATCTTTTCCCTTTGATAAATAACTTTAAAATATCTAGTATACATGCCTTGACTTTATATATATATATAAGTTTGGTTTTATACATACACATACATATATATACTCACATTTGTAAAACAATAAATATACGCTTGACAGTGACAACCAAACCAATGCAATTTTGGTTTTAAAAGAGGAAATGAAAACAAATGACGTACTATAAAAGCACCAGGCAGCAAACAAAGCCATAATTGCTAGAAAGTTCTCCCTCCCCTAAACAGGGGACAGGGACAGGGCAGAATACAGGGGCAGGGCAAGCCATAGGCTTTTGCTTCTTCGCCTGGGATGTCACTTAGTACTACAAATAAGCCACTGCATTTCTTAGAAGCTATGGGGCTCATTGAACAGCCTAGCCCTTGTGGTGGCTGCAGGGGACAGCAGAGATCTGGACAGGGCACAGGAGATAACACTGACAGGGTGACTCCATGGCCACGACGACTCCCCTGCTCTACCTGCTGGCCCAGGCAAACTTTGATCGCTGCCCTAAGCATCAAGCATTTCAACCAGAATGTTCTTTTGATCACTTTGTTCTCTGCTGGTGTAAACAAAAGGGCTGCAGCAGGTTTGAGAGTATTCAGTAGTGCAACATGTCAGCAGCCTGGGAGAGAGCCAGGGCTTCATTGCCCCTCCCAAGGGCTCCAGCAAATAAGAACCCTGATGCAGGGGAGAAAAGGCCAGTTGGGTCGGCTACCTTCTCTTTACTGATGCAATCGTTCAGATCACCAAACTCCAAGGAGACCAGCAACCTCTCTCTCTCTCGAAGCTCTGCAGAGAAGTTCTGGAAGCCCCAGAGCATGACCCACCTGGCAACACTGACCAGAGTGGGCCAATGGAACAAAAGTACCAAAGACCCTGGAGCCACACTGCAGACTCATGAAATGTTCCCTTCACACCCCTCTCTAGCCCAAAGGAAACAAGCAGGATAGTCTAGCAGGGTCTGTTTCCCCCAACAAGTTCCCCAGGGTCATCACCCTGTCCTGCAAAACTTCAGGGGTTTGGTGGGCAAAGGAATTCACCAGTGGATGGAATAAGAGTCATAGGCTAGTGAGAGTCAAGATTCGCATCCAGCACTGGGACAACGGGCAATAGTAGAGTGGGCCTCAAGTCCTCCAACGTCTGACTCTACATTCCCCAGTCTCCAGAAGGGTGCAAATTAGAGATAATGCTTCTGCTATAGAAACAAGTTTTCTGAATACTTCCAAGACACAGTTGAGGCTGGAGGTGTGGCTGAGTGGTAGAGAGCATGCCTGGCATGCACAGAGCCTTGGGTTCTGTCCTAACACACAGTGTAACATGTATGTAAAGCAATGGATTTACCTGTCACAGCTCAGTGAATACTGTCCGTCGAGGGTCTGTGTTCTCATTCTGGCCTCTCTATCACCTGGATGAGCTCCCTTCCCTGTGATAGTCCTGGAGGGGCAGTTAAGTCAGGGAGAAACTGAGAATCAGGAAAATGGGCTTCCCAACCTGGATCTACCACTAACGAAGTGGATGACCTTGCCCGTTACATTCTTCTCCGGGATGTCAAAGGAAGAATCTGATAGATGCCATTCTGAAGTCCTCTCATGTTCTATTGACCTAACTTTCTCTCCAGGGCATCCTTAACAAAGCTTATTTTCTCCAGTAGGCACTGGAAAAAAAAGACCAGTTCAGAAACCTATTCATAACCACAGGTCGAGTTCAATAGCTACTCTCACTGGACAAGATGAAAGAAGAAAGCAATTGATGGAACAATGCACACAGCTAAAACCCGGGTTCCCAAACAAAACCCAAAGCCCCCATTCCTGGAAAAGGATGTCTGCCTATGTTACACTCAGGCCCCAGCAACAAAATCCAAGGCCACCTATCACAGCCAACAATGCTTAGAAAGTCCCCGGTGCTGAGGGTTGCTGAATCATTTACAATTAAAAATCAACAATAGGAAATCCATTTTAAAAGAAGCTGAGTGACAATTTCCATTTGGGAAGGGGAAGAAAAATCCAGCCACTTCTGTTTACAGCTGTAATTGCCAAGCTGCTGGCAGGACACCAAATTCTGCATCCTGCTCACAAGGAGAGTGTTGTGGATCTCAGCCACTCCTCTTACAGTTGCTCCTTGGGAGGGGAGCACGCCCTCTACAGGGCTTCATGAGGAATGCTTGTTCTGGCAAGAATGACAAAAATGCAAATTGTGGTTTGCTCACTCTGTGGCTTTGGGTATGTTACATCTTGATATATACACAGAGGGAATGGGGCAGTACCCAGTACTATTTTTATAGACAATAAGATGGCATGCCTACAATATTCTTGCATTAGGTGGGTAGCCAGGTGACACTGGACCTTGAATGCTGACATGACCTGACACTGGGAGGTGTTGCCAAGGAGATGAAGAAGTTTTAAAGGAATCCCATGATGCAATTTTACCACTAAGGGAGGAAAGTTTTAGAGGTACTGGCAGTGGCTGCCGAGGCATTCTAGACTCCCAACTTTGCAGATAAACCCCAGGACATTTCCAAACACTTGCGTATGCCTGCTTTAAAGTCCGGGGGGTGGGGGAGGGGAAAATGAATGAAAAGGCCCCAAGCAGCCTCTGTTCTACCAGGCCTTTAAATCATGTAAAACAAATTAGAAAGCGGCTGGTTGTTGCCAGGACTTAGATCAAAGTCGTTGAAAACTTGGATTCCAGCCTCACATGGATGCTGCCAGTCAAGACTCTGCACGTGGGACGTCATGGGCTGAAGGAGCCCTGCAGAAGCCCCTGAAACCATCTGTTGTCAGTTTTATGATCAGAACTGCCTGCCCGTGTCGCCCTCCTGTCTCTATCTCTACCACATGGCATTCATTCCAGGAGACACAACTTTAGTTCCTACTTTCTCATGCTTCTTTCAAAGAACACATATTCTTTCTATAGCCCCTAATCTTAAATGAGAGGTTGTTTTAGATAGGGCATGTTTATCACAGAGACCAGAGACCTCTAGAGGGAAAACAGCAAATACCATGGGGGGAAAGTAGAAGTGAGAACCAAACCAAACCAAACCAAACAAACAAAAAAACCAAAAAACAAAAACAAACAAACAAAAAAAAAAACCAAAAAAAAAAAAAAAACTCTTGAGAATATCTTCTTAGGTGAGTGACTTGGAAAAACGAACATGGAGCCATCTACCATGCCCCCAATTCCATCCTTAATCACAGCTTCTCAGGGTAGCTAGGGGAAAAATTGCTTTCCTAGAGAGCAATTTATGAGAGCAGAAACAAAAGTCTATGATGTGGCCCCCATGCACAGATTGCCAGTTTTGGTCTGGAATGCTGGCCACTAGGCGGCAGCCAATCAGAGCCTGGGGAGGTTTCAGCTGACCATCATCCCACTGGTGTGTGGGCTCCAGGTAAGGGTGCCTGTGAATTACCAGGGCTCCGGGGAGGTGCACTGACTGTCTCCCCATAAAGGGACTGGTCTAAATATCCCCAGGCTCAAAACTGCTACTTGCCAGGCCACGGTTAGCAAAACCAACCCAGAAAAAGAGAGCTCCCCATTTCCCCAGTGTATGCGACTTGACGTTTCTTTCAAGACCAGACTTGAATTTTAAAGACTGTTTTAGTGAGGACAGCAAACATTTACAAAGGTGTGTCTATGTGGCAACAGCTTGGTTTCTACCTATATCTAAGCCAGTACTTGGCCATCTCCAGTTTCACAGGGAGAGTAAAAAGACAAGGGGACCAGGCGAGAAAGTAAAAGATGTGTGTTTTCCCCCCAATGTGAATCTTTTCCACCTATGTGTGCCCCTCTTGGGGATCTAAATCCCCATTTTAGAAACACTGTTCCCCGTTGGCTTTTTGTCTGAATACCTATTCAAAAGTTTCCAGTAGTCAGAACCCTGAAAGGCAAGGCCAAAGGTAAAGGGAGGGGTCTTTACTCTTTTAAGGGAGAAGGATTCTATGGGAGTGAAGTGAGCAGCTTCCTGTTTAACCCCACAACCGTCTAATGTCTTTCTTCAGCTTGGCAGTTGGGTTTACATGTTCTTCATTTGGGGAGCTCATACTGCCACACCCAGGACTGTAGCTGCCCTGACCCAGGCAGGCAGCTATGATCAAGCCGGTGCTGCCTAGAGAGTCTTGTGGCAGGACAACTTGATTGCCACTCACACCGGGTTCCACCACCCACTGAAGGAGGGCTCCTGAAGTGGCTCCTTGCAGCCTGTCTGTCCTCTCGGTCACCTCAGAGGTACAGCTTACAGACTTGTTCACTCTCCGCTACAGACGTTCACCGTGCCAGGGGAACAGCGACGAGCCAGTTAGACAGGCCCTCATGCACGCTCATGCTTCCTAGGACACAAAGCAACCAAGGAGGCTGTGCTTTTCCTTCAGATCCTTAAAGTAAAGCACAGTGGCTTCCTGGAATTACAACTTTCTCAACAGCCCCGCCCACCTCCTCCTCTACCTCCCAACAACAACAACAAAAAACCCTCAAAAACCTAAAAACCTTTGCAGACATTTGATAAAGTGCCCTCTTCTGCCAGTGGGGGGCGCTGACAGAAAGCCTAGCTCCCACTGAGCTTGTCATCAGATACACAGCCTTAGCTTGCAAAGAAAGCCAAGGTATGTAGATGGATGAGGTAGGGCAGGGGGCAACCCCTCCTTGCTTCTCGCAGTAATGGACTACAAAGGTGCTAGTTAAACCTCCTTCCTTTCATCAGATACCCAGGTAGGTTGGCACGCCACGCTCTCCTGAATATGAAATCGGCCCACCACCACCTTTGATTGGGACCCTCTGCCTAGGATGGGGACCACCTTCTTACGTGCCTGCTGTGCATTCATGCTGCCCCTCCCACAATCCCCACCCACGGCTACCCTCCACAGTGCATTTCCCCCTAACTGGCCCCGCGCAGCAGGTCGAATCTGCTGGGTCCCAGTGCTAACAGTAGAGGGACATTCTGCTTCTGCGCATGGCCTCACTGATCAGATAGGCAGGGCTCAGCTCTGGCTCCTCTGTCATGATGGCAATGTTCTGCCACTCTCCAGTCTGGCTGGACCTCTTGATGGTGTCTACCACGCAGAGAGCATACAGGCAGTCGTCAAAGGTGGCAGCCATGGTAAGAGGCCGACCGTCCCACGTGCGCCGGTCATCCTGATCCTGGAAGGCCTGGCGCACTGCCTGCATCATCTTCATGGTGCCCCGCAGATAGGGCGAGGGGATGTCGCTGAATGCCTTCTCAGGCAGCAGGGAGTTGCTCACGGATGTAGTGTCTTGCAGTAGCAGCTCCTGCTCCGGGGCACTATTGCGCTGCCCGTAGAGGTCAGTGCCCACTGCCAGGAGACGCCCAGCAGAACCCACCACAGTCACGTCCTGCTTGAACTCTCCAGGAACATTGAAGTTCAGGGTAACGGTGCAGCACACTCCACCCTCCAGCACCATCTGGAAGGTGCAGAAGTCATCGCTGGTGATCTGACGGATACCCTTGATGTGGTCTGTCTGCTTTACAAAGGTCTTGAGCAGCCCGTGAACCTTAACGGCCTTCTGGCCTGTGAGGAAGGTGAGCAGGTCGATGATGTAGGTGCCCACGGAGTGCAGGCCGCCACCGCCCATCAGGTCGTCACAGCTCCAGTTGTATTTCTTGCCCAGCAGACTGCCGCTGTGCACCTGCACCTCACACACCAGCAGCTCGCCCACATAGCCCTCCTCAATCAGCTGCTTCATGCGCACGAAGGCAGGCAGGAAGCGCAGCACGTTGCCCATGATGCTCATGAGCTTGGGGTAATAGTGGGCTGCTGACATCATGCGGAAGGCATCTAGTGGTGTGGCAGTACGGTCACAGATGACGTTCTTGCCTATGCCTGGGGAGAGCAAGAACACTAGATCAGTATGCTGTAAAGAGGGAGCACAACCCCAACCCCAGAGGAACAGCGCCCTGTGTCCGGTTTCACACTCTTGCCTAACATATAAAAAGCACTTTATCCTACAGCCTAGTGTGTGCAAGGCCCCTGGGTTCGGTCACCAACACCACACAACACAAGTACATCCTACATATTTCAATATTCCTTGAGTTATTTTTTAACATTAAGCTATTGAAATTGATCTAAAGAGTAATGCTTAATATATACTCTATAGCCTGACTGCATTAAAAAAATATACTTAATTTCTAAATACATAAAATGCTTTATTTGATGGCTTTACAGATGTGTAAAGAAAGAATAAGAAATGTTTATTTGCAGCTGGGCAGTGGTGGGGTATACCTTTAATCTCAGCATCTGGGAGGCAGAGGCAAGCAGATCACCAAGTTTGAGGGTTAGCCCAGTCTACAGAGAGAGAGTACGAGGACAGCCAGGGCTACACAGAGAAACCCTGCCTTGAAAAAAAAATTATTTACTTGTGGCGATATATTATTTATGATTTAATAAAACTTGCCTGGGGGTTCAGAATGCAAAGCTAGCCATAGGCCATAGAGACCAGGCAGTGGTAGCACACACCTTTAATCCCAGGACTCAGGAGACAGAGGCAGATGGATCTCCATGAGTTCAAGGCCACCCAGGGCTACATTAATCAGTCTAAAAAGAGAAACAGCTCATACAAAGGAGATCTCAGTACTGAAGATCACACACCTCTAATCCCAGCACTAGGGAGGTGGAGACAGGGATGATATGGCTGGAGAAAGGAATATAGAGCAGAAGGAGATGGAGTTCAGAGCTGTTGCCTCTGAGACAGGATCTCCATTTCAGCTTGGTAGAGGTAAGAGCTACTGGCATGACTGCTTTGCTTCTCTGATCTCCAGCTTGAGCCCCAATATCTGTTACTGCATTTATATTACCCATGTTATAATTTACTTATAAAATGCTTTTGAGATATTTACATATTAGTTTACATATTTATAGTATCTTTTATGTGTAAAATATATTTCACTAAAATTATTTCATACATAAAAATTAAGTTTATAGGTTACATGAAGTTTTAATAAAGCTATATTATTAAAAATATCCCTTCTAGAGAGAACGAAGAATAACACAGTAAGTTCAGATCCTAGCCAGCTAAGGCAAGTCCCACCATGAGGAAGTACTTCCTTTGGAGGAGAAAGGGCTAAAAAAAGGAGTCTACACTGTAGCCCAGCCTGGCCTGGAACCTACAGCAATCTTCCTGCTTCAACCCCTGATTCTGAGATTACAGGCACGAGCCTCCATGCTTAACCAAACATGTCTTAATGACACTCTGAAAGTTTCCTGGCTGTTCCTTCCCAGCCCCAGGATTATATTCGGAGTTTAATTTGCATTCTGTTGGAAGTGGTCACTGGCAATGCTTAGTTGAATATTTCTCTCGTGCCATAAAGTGCTCTGTGTTCATTACATTTTAGGGGTGGGTAGTGCCTGCTTCCTCTTCCATCCCCATCTGTCCCTGATTGGGCTTATTGCTTTTGGTCAAATAAGAATGTCAGTAATGGCTGTAAAAATTACAGGGCGCTGCAAGATGCCCCTCTGAGCCCTTTATAGACATTACTTCTGGGTCTGGAGCAAACAACTGATCAAAGGAAGAGAACCACAGAGACAGAGAAGCAGTCTTTTCTGTAGAAAACCAGGGGTCTGTGAGGGAGAAAGGCAACTCTGCTGGATCTGGAGAAACAACAACTGGAGCTTAAGCACACAGATTTGTTAGCCAGCCAGGTAAGATACAGTAGGGGAGCCATAGACTCAAAGCATGGCCTGATGTACACAGGCCTTCGGATGGAGACTTGGTCACTCAAGCTGCGGAAGCAGAGAGCCCAGGGGAAGGGAGCTGATGAATCACAAGCCCAAACTCACTTGTCCAGACTATGGGTTCGACAAAAGCTTTGAACTCTTCAAACAAGCTGAGTTTGTGGAAGCCCTGTAATTATAGATGTCTGAATAAGGGGTTGCCAGGACAAGGTAACAGCATGGCACAGGGGCCCTTCATTTCCCCACTGGACAAGCTAGCCAATCAGAAATCATTGGCACAAAGTAGAAGGCACGCAAGAGCTACCCATGGTCCCCCACACCTGCACATAGCAGCCCTCAGTGACAGCATTAAGTACACAGTGTGCCTGAGTCTGCTTGCCAGTTCCACAGGCCACTTTAGCTGTCCCTTCTGACACATGCACAATAAGAAGCCTTTTAAACTCCTAGAACCTAGGTGAGGATGGAGGTTCTGGCAGGCGGATGAGGTAATGATGATGTATCACACAGTGTTCTGAAAACAGGTTCATGTTGCCAAGGACAGATGCTCACTCATGTAAACAGATTATCCCTACAAGGAGGGGGGGGGTGACAAATACTGCCAACATCTGTATTACACCTGTGGAGTATGGACTCTAGCCAACACTATATCCTACCTCAAATTCCCCCAAACCATCTCTATGGGACATGTGAATGACACTTCTTGAAATTTTTTCTATTATGAAAACTGTGAAAGAAAAAAACAATCCATCCCACCACATACAACCCAAACGAGGTGTGAAAGAGTAGACCCTGGCAGCTGTGTAGATGAACACACACACACATCCCAAAACCCATGGCTAGACCCTCGTGGGTACAGCATCTCTCCCTTTGGGCTACTGATGCATGCTGTGGATCCCCACACCCACTAAATGACTCAAGGATATAAACTAGATGTGCTCAGTGTTATGCCCATAGCCACAATGTTTTGCACACATCATCACCCAGCTCCAGTCCTTGGCCCACAATCTGTGACAGCCATGTTTTGCACATGGCTTTTGGTAAACTTTATATATACTCTATCCCTGGTCATCATAAGCAACTTCTAGAAATCAAAGGAAAAAAATCCAAAACACAAACAGTGCCTGCCCCAGAGGTGCTTTATACATATTATTTATAAAGCAAAAACTTGAACTGTGTAGGTGACCAAGAATGGGTAAAGAAACTGCAGAGTAGCCTTACAACAGAACAGTGAGCTATCACAGGAGATGGCGCCCACAACGACTGTTCAATGACAAGAGGTGACTATGATGCAGTGGTGTATGAACATGTTATAACTTCATCGTGTATGAACATGTTATAACTTCATCGTGTATGAACATGTTATAACTTCGTCGCTCTTTAAGGAGACAGAAACACATGCTGGAAAGGAAACCTCACAACGTTTACAGTGGTTTACTCTTAATTCTGGTCACTAGAGTTGGGGTTGATCTCTCTCTTTTGCAGTCTACAGACTGAATGAAAGCCTGACACAGTCGTAGTGGATACTCTCTCACCGAGCTAAAGTCCTCCCAAGATTTGTGTGTATGTTATTCATAGCCTGCTATGATCAGAAAAAAAAAAAAATCCCAGGTTGCTTTAGTGGTTTGGCTCTCTACACTTGCAGGAGACGGGAGACTCTACTCTGTGATGGGAAAGGTCCCTTATCTCGCTTGGACTCCTAGAACTCTTAAGTTTCAGAGGCTCGGGCTGTTAAAATGTCTTTGCAGGTGGTGCTGGGGGATGAAATAAAAGTCCTGTTGCACGCTAGGCAAGACCTTTGCCAGTGGCCCACTGCCTGGCCTTCTTTTTTTGAGGCAGGGTTTAGCTAAGTTATCCAGGCAGAACTTAAATACCCCCAAGTTGTTACGAGCAGGTAACAACTGAACTGGAAACCGTAATCCTCCTGCCTCAACTTCCCATGTAGCTGGGATCAGAGAGCTGCATTACCAGAGGAAAAGCTGCTTTGGACTCGTCATGTTCAGTCTCAGGAGAGAGACTGTGTCCTCTCTAAGGAAAGGATGGGAGGGCCATTGCCACCACCCCATACCCTTGTGGCTATATACCACATCAGGGGTGGTGGAGCGCACCCCAACCATGGGAACTTCCAACCATCTCCCGGAATATTCATACTGCAGTAAACTCAACAAAGGCCCTTGGAACACATGGGCTCCATCTCTCCACACACACAGGAAGGGCAAAGCAGACGAAAGGCAAAGGAAGTGACAGAGAGAAAGCATTTGTATTTTTGCAAGCCCCAAACACTGGGAGAGTTCCATCAAAGCCCTTTGCTGTTGTCAGCAATGGGATCAGGAAGGCATTCTTTGCACACACTGCAGCTGTGACCAATACTAGCCACCCTATGACTTCACCCCAGTGACTGGGAACTGTCACCCCACAGCTCAGCTGGCTCACTGATGGACCTGTCCCTGTGCCCAGAAATAAATATCTAAGATACTGCCACATCTGTCCACGTGGCCCTGTGTGACCAAGAACACATCTTGGGGAAGACTTCTTAACTGTCCTTCTCATGGACTTCTAGTCCTTTGTAGAATGACATAGATCTTAAGCCAGGTCTTTGGAGACTCTATATCTAATCTTACTTCATGTTTAGGACCAAGTGAGGGCCACTTGGTTATTGAGAGGAAAGATGGGAACCTCCCCCATGTAGGTATGCAACTGAAGCTGAGAGACACAAGGGTAAAGCTACTACCCTTTGCAGGGGTCGGGGGCCTCTTCATCAGAAGCAGAAGCTGATGCGCTTCTGAGGCCATGGCTTCTTCCAGCCTGCCCAGTATGTTTTCTGTCCCTGGGCTAAATGCCCATGGCCTTCACAAGGAATCAAAGCTACAGAGGGAAGACATTTCCAACTGTGAGACACTAAAACCACCTATAAGCAGCTGTTTCCTTCACCTCTTCCACGCTCAGGTCTCCAAGTTGTGACTGAGTCCCGACTCAGGTCTTGACCTCCAAGAGACCAGAACGTCTGTGGGCTGAACCTCCACACAAATATTGTGTCCACATCCTGGGAACGTAGGTAAGGAGTTTCCCATGGACACTCTGGGGAAAGACTCCCACTCTCTGATCTCCCATGGAGCAGTCAGAGGGTGGTGGCCACCCAGGAATCAGAGCCATCC